TTGGGAGGCAATGTACCCCTAAAGTGGGAAAGTTGCTCTTAAGAGCAACTTGAAGCATCTTAATTAATTGTTGGGGTGTCTTACAGACTTTGGCCTCAGAGCCTGTGGGTTCTTTGGGAAGAGCAGCCCTGGTGGTGGGTGAAAGACAGATATGGTAGCAGGATGCCTCAGTGGGACTTCCTCAAGAAGGAGTAAGTGATGAGGTGAGAGCCTCACAGAATGTTCCGGCAGCCACAGCCCCTTGAGACAGGTAGCCCTGAGCTACTAGTGAAATAAGGCCAGAGGACAGAAGCATGTGGTGGCTCAAAGGCTCCAGAGCCTGTCTCTTGGAAGTCCCTGTCACTTGATGGCTAATCTGAGGCAGTGGAGCAAGCCTTGACCTCTCCTGTGCATGTCCTTTGTTGACCGTGGTGTGCGGTTGTTAGCTGCTGCCTTCCAGTTGCTAGCCGCTGCATATGACTAGTGCCTTGCTGGCGAAACTAAAGCTCCCTCACAGAATGGGACGTGTGTTCTGCCAGGAAAATGTTTCTTTTGTAAATGTTCAGAACTGGAGAGGAGATGTTCAGTGTGCAGGTGTTCAAAATGCCCTTACCTGGATGTACTGGGGCTGCGACCAGCACTGGCCATGGCCAGCAGCAGGCCCTTCTGGCTTACTTTTTCTGAGACTTGTCATTATGACCAAACCTAGAAAGCTTTTGTTGGGTTGTTTGTGGTGTGGTGTTTTTTTTTTTTTTAAGTTACATAATTTTATTACAAGAATCAGATGCATTTTGAAATCAGATGCATAGGAGTTGACCGGCCTCATATCTGTAGCTGGGAAACTAGCTATCACTCATCAGCCTGCTGGAGCGTTCCTTTTTCGAAAACATAGGTACCATCTGAAAATTTTCAGGTTCCTTGTTTTTAACTGTTGTAGCTTGCTGAATCAAAACAGCTGAATTTGATACAAACTCAATGTCATTTCCTTCAAGAATTAACTCATCTTTCTGAGCTTTGAGATACTGCACAAGCAACACTGGTCTTCATTTGAACTTCGAATGTATTTTTCACCCAAGAAGTTTCGAATTTGAACCAGAGGTCCACTCTTGAATCACAACGTTGATGGGGAAATGAGCATACACAGACCTCACCTTGTAACGAAAGTCCAGTGTAACACCCTTGATCATGTTCTGTACGTGGCTACAGATGCTGCAAACAGTAGCCAGTTCCTTGCTGTTTCCCCACCATTTGTCAATACGAAGCTCATCTTTTTCTTTCCAAGAAGACTGAGCTCTACATTGATGTGATTGAAGTCCCTCCGCAAGGTTCCCTGCGGGCCTTTCCCGATAACTGTGCGGCCCTTCAGAGGAATGTTGACAGTCTAGTTCCTGAGAATGGTCTTCATTCTCGCAGTTAATGTGGCAAAGAGTGTAAGTTTTATTTTTTGTTTCTTTTGGTTTATTTACACAGTTGAGGGGCACATGGACTTACTGATTGTTAATCTGCTGGCTGGTTGATGACGTAGACAGCATTTAGGGGTGGGACGGGCTACCTGTGGCAAGATAGAGGAGGTGACTAGTTTAACTCAAACTCTGTGTAGATACTGTTTTTCACACTGGTTCGTTCTTCCCATTTCCTTCAACTCCCCCACCCCCAGCCTTTTTATTTTTTTCTTTCACGTCAGACGGGTAGTGTGCCTATGTCGGAAGAAGGTTAAAGTGTGGCACATGTCACACAGAAGCACGAACACCTATTCATCATGCTTATGAAACAGAAAAGGATCAGAGCCATTATTTTTTCAAATTAGTTTGAAAATGTGATACTTTGTCTGAGTAACCAGGCAGGGGTATAAGAGGGTGGCCGTGGATGCCTGGCTCTGCTTGAAGGCTATAGTCACGTACTCTGCTACATCCTGTCCTGCCAGAGCCATCTGAGCCCCATGAACCTGGACTCAGGGGAGCTGCATCCACACCTGCTTCCTTCAATTGGAGGCTGTTCAGTTCAGCCTTCCAACCCCACCCTTTCCCAGTTGAAGTGTCTTACTGAGGGCATGTCATGTGTACAGCGGTGAACCTCTTCCTTTATTTGAAAACCGCATGTGCATGCCCTGTGGGAAAGGTTTGTGGTTATGAGGTTACTTGTTAGAGGTGATGTGCAGTTGTCAGTTGCTGATCCTGCCACACTTTGCTGAACTTAGTTCCCTACCTGCCGCTGTGCCACAGTTTAACAGCTGCTCTGTAGTCTCACATGTCTTAAACTTTTCAGGGACGGTTTACCATGGACCTAAGAGCATAATATTGTGTACATGCATTACTGCAAGTGGACAAGACAGTCTCCTGACCTCGTGGTGCGAGCATTGTGGGAGAGAGCAGACCTTCTAGACTCTCTCAATATATGTGTCATTGTTTTGCTTTTTTCTATGAGTAAGGAGGAACATTGTGTTTATGTGCTTAAGACCATTTCCTTTCTTTAATGTTCAGCTTTAGAGATTATTATTGTTGTGTACCTTTGAGTCAGAACTGACTCATATAATTGCATAAGAGGAGTTGATTACCCATCTTTTTCCCTTGGAACAACTGGTGGATTCAAACAATGTGCCTTTGGCTTGGCAACACAGTTCCTTCCCACTAAGCCACTAGAGCTCCCTTGAGATTATTGGTGATGGTGACCATTGAGTCGAGTATAACTCATAGTGACCCCATGAACAACAGATCTGAACCTTATCCTATCCTGTGCCATCCTCTGTATTTCGGACCTACCTGAGCCCATTGCTGTAGTCACTGTGTCAATCTTTCTGGTTGAGGGTCTTTCTCCCCACCCCCCTTTCAAGTATGATACCTCTCTTCACAGAATAGCCTCTCCTTAGAACATGCCCTAAGCTTGTGAGATGCCACTTTGTCATCCTCGCCTCCATGGAGCACTCAGGCTGCACCTTCTCTAAGATGTACCTGTTCTGTTGACAGCCCGTTGGCTATTTAGCACTCTTCCCCAACACTGTAGTTCAAAGACATCTGTTCTTTTCCTGTCATCTTTATTCATTGTCCAGCTCTCAGATGAATAGCAAGTGATTGAAAAGACTGTGATCTGAATCAGACTCACTTCATTCCTCAGATAGACATTCATTGCTCCTCAATAAAATTTGGAGATGTCCCTCACTGCAGACTTTCCCTGTGTAATATATGTACTAACTGCTGGTACCAAGGGTATTGAGTGTGGATCCAAGTAAGATGAAGTTATAAACAGTTTGACTCTTCACCATCTGTCCATCCATCTTCACCATCGTTCCAGTGGTGAGAATTTTCGTTTTCTTGACATTGAGATGCAATCCATATTGAAGGTTGTGTTCTTTGATCATTGCCACCAAGTGCTTCAAGTCCTCATTGTAAGCAAACTAATAATTGGGATTATCAGTCATGATCTACTCCACTATACAAATGTCTCCAAATATTTGGGCTAATGATTTCATTGAAACTGTCCTGCACACAGGAGGACATGAGCAGCATCCCTGCCTCATGATGACTCAGCATCATTTGCACCTCAAGTTGTGACAGCCAGCTCTGTCATTAGGCATTGCCTGACACCTCTGGGGCTGAAACAGAACACATGGGCAGACTTGAGACACTGTAGCTTATACCCCTGTTTGTGGGCTGGTCCCATAGGTCAATGAGGCAAGCTGAGAATGTCGAGTCTCACAGCTTGGGGTCAGCCTGCGTCCCTCCCGAACCTTGTAAATGTGACTCGGGCCAGGGAACTGTTCTATTTGGACACAGAGTTTACCTCTTTTGACTCTTTCGAAGAACACAAGTTCTAAACTAACTGTTGTAAAAGTAGAAATGTGGCTGTTGGCAATGACAGAAGAGTCTTGATTTTAATTTGCATATGGAGGAGAGATACCTTTCTTCTAGTAAATTACTGTTCGAGCTTTAGATGACATTTCTTCCCACAGTTAAAATTGTCCTCTCAGTTTTCATTTCGTGCACCTCACATGTTAAGCCTCTGCTGCTCTGTCAGCGTGTGGCTTCCTGGTTTCTCAGCAGTGCAGGTCAGTTTATTATGTTGAACTTGTTAAGAGTCAGAGAGCAAAAACCTCAGCTATTGCAACTGCTTCTTGTTAACCTGAGCTTTGTTCTTAACCTGTGTTTATCCACATAACCCGCTAACAGCCAAAGAGATGTTCCGTGTATGTGGGAGGATCCTTTGTACATGGTGCTCCCATGTCTGTACATGATGCTCCCAGTATTAGAAGTCAAGCCATATTCTGTAAAGAAGAGATGCTTCTCTGGAAACTGGGAAATGAAAGGGATGGGGTTTCCTGTGTTGCAAGTACATGCACACAGCACTTAAGAGGCATCTTGGGAATCAGAAAAACATGTCTCGTGACCTAATGGTAAGGAGTTATGCTGCCAACCCAAAGGCACACAGTTCAAATCTATCAGCTACTCTGCAGGAGAAAGATGGACTGTCTCTCTAAGATTTATGGCCTCTGAAAACGTGCTGGAGAGCCAGCCGTCAGTCAGTTCTCACTCAGTGATGCATAACATGAATCCTGCAGGAAGGCCAGGACATATTGTGAGACAACCCTGGTGTTCTAAATGGAATAATCCAGCTGGAATAAGCTCATTCCATGTGTCAGGCAGCCTTTGACAGAGAGCAGGTGATGATCAGCCCTTCATCTTCCATGTGGACTAGTTTCCTCTAGCTTTTTAGAATACTTTCGAATAAAACTAAAATAATAAATGTTTCTCGGCGAGCTCTGGTGGCCTAGTGGCAAGAAGCTGCACTGCAATCCAAGAGGTGCACAGTTCGAATCCACCAGATGCTCTGCTGGAGAAGGAGGAACAATCTCCTCCTGTACCAGTCAGATCTGATTTGACGGTACACACAAAAAAATAATAAAAAATTAAAAAAAAATGTTTCTCACAACAAGTTACTGACCATGTCCTTTTCCCAATTCATGCGTCTTGTTTGAATTGAATTTCATTTAATCTAATGTGACTCTTTTTTCCTTTTGTGTCTTTCAGCAAACGAGGATTCAGTGTGCGCTCCTTTGGGACAGGGACACATGTGAAACTCCCAGGACCAGCCCCAGACAAGCCTAACGTCTACGATTTCAAAACCACATATGATCAGATGTACAATGATCTTCTTAGGAAAGACAAAGAACTGTATCCCCGAGGATGGCCCTTTAAGCCCTGTGGTCATCTCTGGAGGTGTCCTGTGCTGCGTATGCCCCACCCTGGCGTTAGTTGTAGGCAGGTGTCCTTCGAGAGCCGGGAGGAGGCGGAAGTGCTGCTTCTCTCACTTGCTGAGTCATGGTGCATGCGGTGATAAAACACTTCACTCCCTCTTTTTCTTCTTCCTTTTCTTTTCTTTTTTCCTTTTTTTGAGAGAGGTTTACATAATCCTCAAAACCACTTTTCTTTTCTTGGTGCTCACTGGATAGTCCCAGTATTAGAAGAATCTGGGCGTTGGACTTCCAGGGGCACAAGACATGTCACACAGAGGGATTGACGGGGTGTGGAACCAGGGCTGAAAGGACGAGGCTAGCAGGAGCCACAGATCACCTGTGCTGCCACAGTGCCAGGCTACCTCATGTTCAGTGTGATGTGTACACACGTGTGCTGGTGCACCTGTGCCGGTACACGTGTGACTGAGAGACTCCACGTACCTGCCTGCTTATGTTTTTGGAGGGGTCAGGTAAAGAGGGCCATGTCCTTCCTATCCGTGTGTCACCAATTTATAATTTGGAAGAACTTAATTTGCAGGCTCTGGTAGTGTAGATCCCGTAGGGAAATTGCATGCTAATCCAAAGGTAGTCCTCTTTGGTGGTTCGAATCCACCAGCAGCTCTGAGGGAGAACGATGGGCAGTTTCCTCCCATGTGATTTACAGCCTCTGAAACATGCTGGAGGGTCAGCTTTGAGTCTGTTCCGACTGAATGGCAATGAGTTCATTTTGTATGTATGGTTTTTGTTTGGGTGGGGTTTTTTGTTTTGTTTTTTAGTTTATTCAAAGAAGAGTAAAAATAGATTGCATCTGCTACTTATATTCTTATACAAAGAAAAGATATTTTTAAAAAGTATTATTGACTGTGACTCTAAATATGTCCTGATAAAGGTGACTGAAGTTTGATCAGGGCACCTCATGGTCCTCTCCACATTTATCCTAAGTTCCTGGACCCTCTTTGTTACAAGTTGTGATAATAGTGCTTAGGGTGGGGACCAAGCATATAGGGATGTAAACATGTAATCAGAAGTTTGTTTTCTTACATTGGTACTTTGGCCGTTTCAATAAACTGGATGTGTTTGCACATCTGTAGATTATTTAAATAGCCAGGCATGGCCTTGGGGTCCTTCTAAATGTAAAATCAGATCCCAACATTTATGGCCCCTTATGCCCTCTCTACTATCCTGCTGCATTCAGACATTGTGGGCAGGGAAAACCTGCGACAAAGGCAGTGAAATTGCATGTCATGTTGACCCCAAATGGAGCTGGAGTGTGCCCTGTAAAGCAACAGTGAGTCCAGGGCCAGGTGGGGCCCTGGCAGCATGTGAGTATGTGAAGGTGTAAGCAGAAGGCAGATCTGATGGTCCCTTGTGAGGTAATACATGTCACAACTGTGCGCTCTAGTGTGCTGTAAATCCCGGGTCACCCTCTAATTTCCAAGCAGCCCTTGGCTCTGGCATCCTGGGTAAGCCAGGAGGGTGGAACTCTGTCTAGGTTGTTGAGCAGCAGCTCTGGAAGGCTACTGTGCATCTCCTGGTGAGGCTGCCCTTCATCCTGCTCTACATCAGTCACTTAACCAGAATAAGCAGCCTGGTAACAAAATCCCTTCCTTGAGAATATTGTTTGGGGCTCAGGACTTCTGTGTTCTTGAAGAAAGATAGTGGTCGTAGTCCCAGACTTTCCTTTCTTAGGTGAGACGCCTGGTATGCAGTGAGCTGCTTGAGGTCCCTCAGTTCTGGAAATGTCCTGCCATTGAGTTAGCCCCACTCTTTGTTAAAAAGCTGTGCTTAGGATGAGATAACATGACAGCAGACAGCACAACATGAGTGATCAGCCTCTTAACTTACAGGCTGTCTGGGACTCAGCTGTGACCAGGGTTCTGAGAAAGGGCAGTGTTCTCATTTGCTTTCAGAAAGGACCAATGCAAAAAGAAAAAGACCAAAGCCCATTTTAACAGTCACACCTACTGATCTAGGGGTAGGGGTGATAGTCTGCATGTCCCAGGCACCTTAAAGGAGGGAGCATGGGGTGGGTTTTTTCAGAATTCAGAACCTCCTTTAAAGGGTGACTTCACAGAGGTAGGTGGTTTCTTGTTAAGTGTCCTATCTGTCCAGAAGGACTGTGTACATGCATGTTTGGGAGTGTGTGCTCAGTGTCTGCGTGGGGCGATGTGTACGTGTGTGCGCACGTGTGCTTGACTGCACATCCCTTTGCAACTGAGAAGTATGGCTCCTCAGGCTCTATGCTCATTCTCTGTGTGGCCAGAGACCTTGGTCCTCTGCCCTTTGAGGTAAAGATCCCAGCATCTACCTCCTAATATTCCTGAGAGTTTGACCAATTAGACTGTGGGACTGAATGTTCATTAAACCTTCAGTAAATTGTGGCCCATTGTCTTACTGGTTGTTGTATGCAGTCAGGTTGAAACCAACTCACAGCTGGCTCTCCAGCAGGTTTCCTGAGGCAGAAAATTGCGCAGGAGGTAACTGTCCATCTTTCTCCCATGGAGTAGCTGATGGATTCGAACTGCATGGCTTTGGGGTTGCAGCACAGCATCTTATCACTAGGCCACCAGAACTCCCATGTCTCATCAGTAATACTGAAATACTGTTTTTAAAAAATCATCGGCCTTATTAGATTCATTCCCTCCTGCATGCCTCTCTCCCCGAGAAAAAAAGCAAAAAATAACTTCGCAGGAATAAGAGATTCCTACTCAAACCCCTTCATAGAACTGTGAACCTCCTGTGTGGGGTCTCCAGGGGAGGAATGTTCAGGTTCGCACGCGCGTGTGTGTGTGTGTGTGTGAGAGAGAGAGAGAGAGTGTGTAAAAGTCGACTAATTGCACCAACTCTAGTTAGTGAAGGTGGATAGTAGAGGTTATCAGCCGGTTAGTAGGGTTATGTTTGCATTTCCCTTGTCAGAAGTGGGCAATATTTATATATAAGGACCAGAGGTGGGACATGGCCCTCAAAGACAGATGAGAATGGTGCTCTGTAAGGGGCACTATCTATTTTTTATAAGGTTGTGTGCTGGTCAGTGAGTTCTGACTCCTAGTGACTCTGGAAGACTGTTGGAACTGCCCTATAGGCTGTAAATCCTAATGGAGAGAATGCTGCGTCTTTCTCCAAGAAATTACCATTGTTTGTGCTGTCAAGTCAGAACCAACTCTTCGCAGACCTTCCAGCAGGTTTTCAGAGGCTACTTAATCACACAGAAGATTCTATATATTTCTTCTGCGAAGCAGCTGGTGGATTTGAACTTCTGCCTTTGGGATTGCAACACAGTTTCTTATCAATAGGCCATCAGAGCTCCAAGAAATTACTGTGTGAGATCAAGTCACTGAGCCATTAGTTAGCAGTCAGGTGCTTCAAACCATTGTGCCACTAGGGCTCCTTGATAAAAACTTTGAGATTCTCATTCCCTATGATTTTTCTGTTCAAAATATACAACTTAATGGTTTTTCATATACTCTCAAGGGGGTACAACCATCATCACAATTTTTGAACATTTTATCATCCAAATCCATAAACAATTTTTCAGCCCCAAATGACCACTAGTCCTGGTGGTCTCTGGATATGCCTCTTTGATCCTTTCTTGGAAAGACATTCAAATAATATGTGGCCTGAGGTGTCCTCCTCCTTTTCCTTAGAATATTTTCAAGGTTTGTTCGTATCAGACCTTGTGTGTAATTATCCATTTTCCCTCTTTACCTTGAACTACTTTTTCTCCCTTCTCTTTACCTTAGATTTGTCTTGAACACAGAGTAATTTTGAACTGAACATTTTACTCTCCGAGTTGTAGGATCTATTTGGACGGTCAGATTTCTATATCTTTTACCTGATCTACTACATATGGTTAAACTTCTTTCTGGAATTTTTTTTTTGTTTGGTTGGTTTTTTTTAGGGGAGGTGGGGCAGTCAGGAAGTTTGTATTTTTATCTTTGAAAGTCTTACATAATGAGGAATGCTGAGCTTATATGGGGCTCTATATTTTTTTTGTAGGAGAAGTTGAGTTTTAGTCTGAATATCATTTAATACTTGTTACTGATAAGTGTTGCCGAGTACAACTCACAAAGATCCTGTGAACAATAAGTCTGGACCTTTTTGTGTCCTGTGCCATCTTTATCATCCCCGGCACACTTGCTGAAGTCACTGTGTCATTCCATCTCGGTGAAGGTCTTCCTCTCTTGCTGACTCTCTTTTTCTTAGCATGATGTCCGTTTCCAAAGAATAACCCCCTCCTAACAACATGCCCAAAGTAAGTGAGACAAGGTTTCATCATCCTTGATTCCAAGGAGTATTCTGGCGGCACTTTCTTCAAGATAAATCTGTTATTTTGGCTGTGCATAGGATTTTTGGTATTCCTTCAACAACACCACAGCTCAGAGACATCAGTAATTCTTCTGTCATCCTTATTTATTGTCCAGCTCTCAAATTCATAGCAAGTGATGGAAAAGACCATGGCCTGAATCAGAGATTACCTTACTCTTCAGACTGACATCACTGCTGCTTAGCATTTCAGAGAGGTCTATGACAACAGACTTGCCCAATGCAATATGTCTCCTGATCTCCAGACTCCTGGAACCAAGGGTACTGATTGTGGATCCAAGTAAGATGAAGTCTTTGACAACTTCATTCTTTCCTTCATCTATCGTAATGTTGCCTGTCAGGCCAGTGGTAAGGATTTTTGCCGCCTTAATGTTGAGATGTAACCCATATTGAAGCCTGTAGTCTTTAGTCTGCCACAAGCATTTTATGTCATACTCACTTTCAGCAAACGGAGTTAACGTCATCTGCAAAAAAAAAAGCACCACTACCCTATGAACAGGATTGGAACCTTGCCTATCCTGCACTGTTCTCATAATCTCTAACATGCTTGAGCTCGTTGTTACAGTCACTGTGTTTTTCCCATCTTGTTGAAGGATTTCTTTGATCCTCTACTTA